CAGGGAGCCTGATGCGGGGCTCGATCCCAGGACCCTGGGATCATGACCCGAGCCGAAGGCAGATGCTTAACCATCTGAGCCACCCAGGCGCCCCGCACTGGCCCTGTTCTAAGAGCTTTACAAATAATCTGTTCAACCCTCCTAACAACTTGGGAATTACTGTGGCCCCACTTTACAGATGAGGAAACTGAGGCACAGAGAGGCTAAGGAACTTGCTCAAAGTCATCTGGCTAATAAGTAACAGAGCCAGTATTCAAACTGAGACACCGCTTCTACATGGAGAGATCCTAGCCACGTGCCTGGTATGTAGCAGGCACACAACAGATATTCATCCTCTTGCTTTCTAGGTTCAAAATTACTTTTTAGTAGTGCCAGCCCGGTAGCCAACCATCCCAGTGAGTTCGGGACGGAGGAGATTCCCAGGACGAGGACTCTCCTAACACTGGGACAGTCCCAGGCAAACCAGGACAGGTGGTCGCCCTGAAGGCTGGAAATATGCATCCTACAGTGTTTCCTCCAGTATTCAGTCGCAGATGAACTAGGCCCATGATAGCTAATGCTCTGTGCCCTTAAGCAAGGCAGGCCCCAGGAAAGGACCCTGGCCTTAGACTTAGCAGTTGTACTCAGGGCCTGAAGACACTTCCTGCTGCTTTTTTCCACTTTAGGCCATTTTCCTAACCTTTCCGAATTTTGATTTCCTCATCTGAAAAATGAGAATTATACCATCCCAGAGCTTAGTATCAGGATCCACTTAGAAGGTGCTCACGACCTGTAAAGTGTCTTACAAGTATGAAGATGTTATTGTTGGCATTCTAGATGCACTAGAATACTTTAGGATAGGAGCTACAATCCTCAGGACAGAGTTTCTTAAATCTAGGGTCGATGGACACACACTGTGCCCTGCTCCTGGAAACGTATCAATTTGGGGTACATGTGTTTTGGGGAATGAAATCATAGTCTTCATCAGTATCTCAAAAGTTTTCTAAGATCCAAGAACCAGTCTCAGAGAGGTAAGTTACTTGATGGCTTCTGATACTGGCCTTCTTCTTCCTAGTTTACAAAACATTCACTGTCTTGCTAGGTTAGTAAGAGGCAGAAGTAAGTCTGGAGAGTATCTGTGTGAATGGCCACTGAGGGTTTCACAGCAAAAGACCGCAGGGTCCTTGTTCCCTGGTGATGGAGTGCCTACTCATAAACACTGCCCCACTCTCCAAGAGCATATGACACCTCTCTTCCTAATATTAATGTTCCTTACCCTCTGGGTTTAATCTGGGCTTAAAAGGAAAGGGGGGGGTGGGCCACACCACAAGAGGGGCAGGTAGAAAAATGCAAAAGTATTAAAAAAAAAAAAAATCACTTGGGAAAGAGGCTCCTCCCTAAAAGTCAGTGACCACTACTAAGTCCTGGAATTTTAAAAAAGCTCACTGTGTGGTAGGACAAAAAAAAAAAAAAAAGGTTCTGCACACACACACACACACACACACACACACAGATCTAAATTACACATTTGGAATATATGTAAAATGACCTATTGAAGTTATTTTTTTTCCCTGAAGGTGATATTTCAAGAGAGTGATATAAATTGATGTTTACTATTAACACGCTACCTATGGACTTTGAAGGCTAAAAATAAATTTGGTCTAAAAAATCATGACATTTTTACATAATCACTCCAGCTAGAAGGAACTTAAGTGAAGCAATCTAAGGTCAACATGATCGTATAAAAGAGGAGACTGAAATTTAAACTGCATGCCAAGATTAGAAGCTAGGGCTTCTCATCAAATTCTGCCCCTTTAGGCATGACATAGTCAAAATTAAGTTCCCTGGCCACCAAGCGCTAAATCCATTTTACAGGCTTGCTAGAAAATTTTTCACTTGTGTTAGCCAGCTGCAGGCTAAGGCGTGATCCTGGGTTTTCAGCGGCATCTGTGTCTTCAATATACAACATGGAACATCAGTCCGAGGACAGCAGATAGTTTTTGCTATCTCCTGGAAAATGGAAGCAAACCTTCTCATTCTCTACTGGACAGCATTAAACATTTCTTAATTCTGCTTGCCACCACCTTTCCATGGAAGGTAAAAAACTGGGTCTTAAATGAACCAGACAGGACTTAATTGAATGGAAAAGCATAGGGAATAGGAAATGCTGGCAGAGGGACAAGCCCAGCGATTTGCTGTCAGTGGCTGAACGGGAGCGCGTCCCCAGATTACTTCCAGGACGGCCGCAGGAGTGCTCCTGGCTGCTTCCCAAACATCAGTAAGCCAAGCAGCCTCACGCAGGACACTTCCTCGCCATCCCTTCCGCAAGCAGGAGAAGAAAGGGAGGAGGGGGCAAGGGACAAATTCTCCAGAGCTACGTACCACGTTCTTGTAGAAAAAATAGAGAATCATGTTGGAGAGTCGTGTGTAACACCAGTGCCCGTGGACAAGGAGGAGCCTGCCGAGATGCTTAAACTGAGCAATGGCAAAGTCGCTGGCCATCACCGCCTGCAGAGGAAACAGGGACAGGATGCCACCCTGAGCCATGGGACATGTTAACACAGACGCAGCCGGGCAACCTGACCATCAGCAGGCTGCGACTGGTCCAATCTGTTGTTTAAACCGTCCGTGCACCCCAACACAAAATAAAGCAAACCCAAACAAACAGAAACTCATGAACACCGAGCCACAGTCAGCTTTCCAATAGGGTCCCATGAAACAAGACTTCTCTTTGGTTCCCACTCGGGACGGAATTTCGGCAAATGTACTTTCCTGGAAAGCAGCTCCCTTAGCAAGAACGTCACGCGTTGCCATCGGCATCTGCTTCTCCTCAATGAGAAGAATATTGAAAGGACCGTAGTCATGACTTCATGAATTTCTCAAGGTTTGCAGAGAATGTCATAATTTACAATTCTCTGAAAACCCCAAGCCTCACGTCTGATCTTCCTCTGACGGCGTTTGCTCCATAAATGAAAAGCAGTCTTGGGACAAGCTTTTATCTGACTTTTCTGCCCAAACACACTATCCGGTATGCACACATGTGCACACACACACGTACAGGGAGGACCCTCCCCTCTCCCTCATTCTCAAGCACCATCTTCCTCCCTCCCTCTTTAGGTCTGTAGGTCTTTTATTCAAATCCTACTTTAGCAGCTTTCATCGGTGTCTAAAGTCACACAGTTACCGCAGGGCTAAATATATATATTATTAGGATCTAGAGGAGCTATAGATTTTAAACTGAACGAGCATGCAGTTAGAGTTACCCAGGAAAACACCCCAATACTCACACAGTAAATAATCAACAGACACAATTCCTGTCTCCCACTCCTGATCTAGCTACGGCCGGCCTCACTTTACCACAGAGATTTCACCGTGGGAATGCTGCCCTTGGATGGGCAGGTGAGGTTCACGGTACTTGGGCGCACGAAATCCACTCACCTGCATGCCTTCTTGACCTGAGATCCCAATCCCAATGTCTGCCACTTGAATCATGCTAACATCATTGGCACCATCACCTTCAGGAGATCGAAGAAAAGGCAAGAAGCATATGAAGGGTAAAGAAAGGATGCAAACTCTGCAAAGCAACAGTGACCACTCAAGCAAACAAATCCTTCAAAGTTTATATCCCAAGTCTGCAAGTTACCTGGAAGCTAGTGAAACAGACATTACATGTCGCATCCTGCTGCCATCAGAAGAATTCTAAACTCAATAATGCCTTAAAATCCTTCACGCTAAGGCACCTGTCTGGACTGATCTCCCCCTTTCCCATGCCACTCACTTTACTTTCAGTTTTCCAGATATCTCTGCTCCTTCCAGCCACCGCACATGTGGTCTGTATCCTTGTAACACTGGCCTCATCACCCCCACATCTCGGGGCTGGATTTCCATTGCTCCTGCCCTCAGCTCAGATGTCACTTCCTCTGGGAAATCTTCATATTCCCTTTAGATTAGATATGCCTCTTCCTTGGACTCCAGCGCTATATCATACGTATCATATGATATTATGGTTGCTATATAGTTCTTGGTCTCCCCAACATACTGGAAGCTTCTTAAGGGGAAGTATTACATTCCTGTTGGTGATGAACATTTGTTGTTCCCAACTGCCCACCAACCATTCACCTGTTTTCAGTATCCTGATTTTCCGTGGGAACTCAAGGAAGAGATAGAGTCTCTCTCTCCCTCTCCCTCTGCCCCTCCCCACCTTAAAAAAAAAAAAAAAAAAAAGACCAAAAATTTATGATGGCCTCCAGGACCCTAGATGATCTGGTCACCTGCCACCTCTGCCCATCACTAATCTACAGAAAACTCTTCCCTTTGCTCAATCTGCTTTGGCTTTGAACATACCAAACTTGGCCTATGGCCTTCACTTTCCCTGTCCTCACCAGGAATGTCCTCCCCTCAGGTTTCCCATGGCTCCCTTATCATTCTCTTCAAGTCTCTGCCCACATGCAGCCTTGTCAGTGATACTGTCTCGGAAAAACACTGAAGTTAGCAGCCCTCCTCCTGTCTCCCCAGCGCTCTACATCCCCTGGTTCTGCTTTTATTTTTTTTTAAAAGCACTTGTCACTACCTGACATATATTTATGCCTTTTTTGTTTTGTTTCATTTTTTACTATATGCTTCCTACTGAATGTAAGCTCAAAGAAAAAGTACTTTGTCAACTGTATACACTCTTATCTCCACTGCCTAGCAAAATGTCTGGTAAACGGAAGGCACTCAATATCTGTTGAACGAATGCATAAATGATTTGTTCGTGCCCCTGAATTTAACTTTTCTGAAGGTGGCACTCCTAGACTTTTCAGTTCTATGATTCAGTACATTTACCCTCCTTAACTTTGTTGATCCGGGGTTCTGACATGCAACCCAAGGCCCTACCGTATTGGTTTCCAGGTCACACCCCTACCCCGTGGTTCCTAGCGGTGGTCAAAGAGGTGAGGACGAGAAAGGGGGAGGGAGTAGGGGGCAGAGAGTACGAAGGGAGAAAAGGGGGAAGAAATGTGGGGGTGGAAAAGGACAGACAGACAGAAGGGTAAATGGACGTAGGGTGTACGGAAGGAAGGACAGACAGGAGAATCAATCCCCGGGGGGGGGGGGGGGGCAGGAGAGTGAGCAGCCCACGGCTGGATCCCTTCCCCACTCACCGATGGCCAGCGTCATCACCTGCAGATGGCTGCGAACCAGCTTCACCACCTCGCTCTTCTGCAGGGGGGTGGCTTGGCAGCAGACCACAGCCTGACAGCAGGCAGTCAGCTCCAGGAACTGCCTCTGCAGCCCCTCCTGCAGGGCGCACTGCAGGGCCTTCCCAGTGATGATGAGGCCAGCCCGAAGCCCGCAGTCCTGTGTGTGCTGTAAGCCCTCCCTTAAGGACGCTTGCTCTGGAGAGGCGGGATTCTTCTCCTGAAGTTCTTTCAAAATGGTGCTCATCAGCGTCTCACAGGCATCCTTGAAACAAGAGGCCAAGACAGTCAGGCTCAGGGCTCCCCTGGCAGCCATATCCAGCTAAATTTATCTTTAGCCACCGCTGTGTCAAGGCTAGCGAGTAATCAGCTACTTCTGAAGACCTCCCAGCTCTTCTGCAGAGATTTCCGGGTATATGTGGGGACCAGTGAATAGGACAGAACACATCTCACTCCCGGTTCTACAATAAAAAATAATGTGGAATTTCTTTATTTGTGCCATTTCCCTTCTCACACGGGGACTCTCAAGAGTCCTTCGATCTTCTTCTACCACTCACCACCGGCTTGACTCGAGGCAAGTTATGTCAGCTCTCTGAGCCTCAACTTCTCACGTGAAAAATGCAAATGTCTACACATGGTAATGTCATTGTGAAGAATGAGGGAGAGAACATGTGCAAAGCCCCTCATGTAGGCATGGCACAGAATTTAAAGCAATAGTTGATAGTATTTTTATCTTCTTTTGGACAACGTTCATTCATTCATTCACTGAATATTTATTGAGAAAACATTCTAGGTGCTGGGGATTGGTCAATGAGCACACAAAAAAAATCCCTGCTCTCATGGAGCCTACATTCTGGTTGAGATGTTCTCAGTGGTGCTTGTCATGTTTGGTTTGTGTGCTGCCCTCTACTCTCCTCACCCCCACATAGTCAGGAAATACTATAGAGATCATTTTTAATTTACTTTTGAAGCCCTCACAATGCCTAAAAGAGAGCCACATCAAACAATGAATACTCACTGGACGGATTCTACTCAAGAAGACTAACAATAAAATTATCCAGAAATTACTGTGTCAAGTGACCATCAAGGACAGAACCTAACAAAATCCAGGAGTCTTGCATTTAAGTTTAGACATTAAGACTGAAAGAAAAAAACAAAACTGAAAGTTTATTCATAAGAGAACCCCTCACTCAGAGGTCATTCACTCTTATTTCAGATGCTGTTTAATCAAGCATTTCTCAACCCACAAAATCAAATGGATAGAGAAGAAGTAGATATGGATACGTAGCTTGACACTACAAAGACTTAATAACTATAGAAGCTACACACAAGAGTTCCAACTTTATTTTTTTTTAAAGATTTTATTTATTTATCTGACGGCGAGAGAGAGAGGGAGAAAACGAGCATAAGGGGGAGAGGGAGAAGCAGGCTCCCCACTGAGCAGGGAGCCTGATATGGGGCTCAATCCCAGGACCCTGGGATCATGACCTGAGCCGAAGGCAGATGCTTAACCGATTGAGCCAGCCAGGCGCCCAAGGGGTCCAACTTTTAAAACGGAGCTACCCGTTTAGGTTCCTAAACCTTAGAACAAATCTGATCCTATACACCTCGAAAACCTCCTAGGAAAAAGTGTATGAAGACGAATCAAATATGTCCTTCATAGGCTCAACATAGAGAAAAAAATTATTTTTAAAAACCTTCTAGAGTTTGGTTACATTAAAATGATACATTTAGAAGGTAACACACCCTGAAGTCACTGAAAATCAGCATGTCAACATGATGATGTTGAAGGTACACATTGAGTGAAGAAATACAATACTGTAGACACGCCTCCGCATGCTCACAGTGCACAGAATGCAGGCTGGAGTGGGAGCCCTCCAAAATATAAGCCGAAATTATCTGTAGTTTTATGATTCTAGAATGATTATAGATGTTTTTATCCTTTTGAGTATATACTTAGTTTTATAAATTACATTTTCGTTATAGAAATATGTATAAATACACACACACATACCCAATTTCCTTATTTGCAGATTCCCTATATGTGAACTCACCTACTTGCTAAAATTTATCTGGAATGCTATAATCAGTACTTGTAGTGCTTTTGTGGTCATTTGTGGACATGCACAGAGAGAAAAATTTGAGTCATGTGATAGGATTCCAGCTGACACTGAATGAGGAGACGCTCTGTCTTCTTACGTCAGCTCCCATACTGTAAATAAGTGTCCTTTTCACTGTTTGGTGACACATTTTCTGTATGTTTCTGCTTTTTGTTGATTTTGCAGTTTAAATGACCTCCAAGCCCAGTGCCGAAGTGGTGTCTAGTGGTCCTATGTACGAGAAGGTTGTGATGTGCCTTGTAGAGAAAGTATGTGTGTTAGATAAGCTTCATGCAGGCACGAGTTATGGTGCTGTTGGCCATGAATTCAATGTTACTGAATCAACTATACACATATAGTAAGTTGTTGTTAAACAGAAACACACATGGAATAAAGTTATATATTGACTGGTTGACAAAACAAAATGTTGTGACCAAAGGCCTATGGGAACCTATATTTCCCCCCAGGGGTAATGGTTCCGTATTCACTAATTCAGTGTTTAGGGCAACTTTATAGAATTTAACTCCATGAGAAATGAGAATAACTACAGATAGGTAAATACAGATTACATAATATATAATACAATACAAAATGTACACTTGACACATAATCAGCTGGGGATACTCAGACAAATCACAACCTTTTGGAGTTTCAGGTTATAAAAATGAGGATAATTTTATCTGATCGGTCTACCCTTTATAGCTGTCAAGTAAGATCTTGTATGAGAAAGTCTCTTATAGATTCTAATTAACATGAAAATAAAGAGTTACTATCTCAGGAGAAATTTTTAAATGAAATCATAAAAGTAAAACTTAAAAAATTAAATGATGGATCCTGAAAAGGCTTTATGTATCACAAGGCAGTAAATAATCCATGATATGGGGGCGCCTGGGTGGCTCTGTTGGTTAAGCGTCTGCCTTCGGCTCAGGTCATAATCTCAGGGTCCTGGGATCGAGCCCCACATCAGGCTCCCTGCTCAGCGGGCAGCCTGCTTCTCCCTCTCCCTCTGTCCCTTGCCCCCACTCATGCTCTTTCTCTATCTCAAATAAGTAAAATCTTAAAAAAAAATTAATCCAAGATAGGTTTGTATTAACCCCCTGCCCTGAAAAAAACCCCAAGACTTTTATGAGAATGGAAACCATGTAAAGTTTATAAGTGGCTACATTTACTGTAATCCAACTTGCAAATTTAGGAACAGGAGCTGATGGAAATTCATAAACCTGCAATACTATACTACAAAAACGACCAGATATTCTACTGATTTCCAGATGGCCCACTTAGAATGTCACAGAAGCAATTTCTTCACTAACTGACAAAGCAGGTTCCATGATCTTTCTTTTTTAACTCTTAGCATCTCCTGATGGAGAGGAAGGAGTGGAGGAAAAAAAAAAAATAATATAGTGACTGAGCCCCTACTATGTGCCTGGCATTTTATATGCTTGGACTTGAGTCACCATAAAACTAAATTATGTTCACTGTATTCTGTTTAGTTATCTGGAAAATTCACACAAGGTGGAATAGCTTTTGATAGTAAAAAAAGTTTACTTTTTGCACTTAGAACAGTCCATAGTGGATACTCCATAAAGACTTCTTGAATTGTTAAGTTTTAAATGCCTCTAACTATAAATCGTAGGTTTACAAATAAGTTCTACAATCCTAATGATTTTACTGCTCACAAAAATGTCAAAATCAAACATCAAGAACTGACTTTTCTTTTTTAATGTTCATTGAGCCCCTTCTGTCTGCCAGGCACTACATGTTTAATTTATAATCTATATTTTCTCATTTCATGCCCACAACGACCCTATGAAATAGGTACGTATTACTCTTACATCACAAGTGAAGTAAAATGCCCAGAAGAAAACTCCCCAAGGTCATATACCTGATCACGGGCAGGCTAAGCACACAAACCAGGGGCTTACCAACCTTAGTGCACAGCCATTTTAGTAACCAAAATGACTAATGGACAATTTTCTTATGCTTAGGCCCTGCTGGTACTGGGGGCTGGCTGGTGGTTGTGGTTATGGGTCTCTGGGCAACAGACAACTGCCAAGGAGAACCCATTCTGTGTTGAATAAAGAAAATTCTCTTTTCTGAAAATGTATGATCTGGTTAGGTATTGGCTGAGGCCTGACCTTAAAAACATGGCTAACCAAACATGGCAGCCTGTGACAGAGCCCCAAGATGCCATCCAGATGAGAAGCTCCAGAGGATTTCTGAGAGGCAGGCTGCTGTCAGAGAATGGATGTCATTGATTAAGTCTGACTATTGAAGAAGGAGAGAGGAAGGTTTTCCAAGCTAATTAAATAACATGCACAAATCTCAGAGAATATTACCATATTGCAAAGTTAAAAAAAAAAAAAGCCTGTTTAACTGATTAGAACCTCTGTGTTAGAGATTAATGGGGGTGGGGCAGGGATAATTATAAAAAAATAAGCTGGATCGAAACCTCTTAAATTCCTTAAGAAAAAAAAAATTTTTTTCCCTTCCCGTAAAACAGTTCTTCAAACTTGATATTCTCAACAGCACTGTATCTAAGAATTGCCACTAGAGGGCATAATTACCCCGAGAGTCTATTTTTGTAATTAACCACAAAAATATTAATGTGTTCACCTGATTCTGATAGAAATCATCACTTCCCCTCAATTTGAAATAGAGGTATATTCCTGTCCCAGAACTTGATATATTTTGTCGTTATGGGCTAAATCTTAAATTCCTGGAAATCCAATGTGGGGGGGGGAAGCAAATAAAAACATAAAAAGGCAATTTTCTTTAGCAATAATTCCTTTGAATCATGTTTAACCATGAAGCCTTTAGAAGAACTATGGTACCTTCCCAAGCACAAGGTAGGCTGCTGGATAGAAGACATAATTATCAAGGAGCTAATGGTTATTGGTTTCTTTTTCTCCTTACCTTCATCAAATCACAAATGCTCCCCTGGCTATGAAAAAGCAAAAAGACGGATTCGATCTCATTATACCTACTTTACTCTGGGTATTGAGGATAAAGAGCTTGTCACCCGGCTCCAGTAGTTTGCATGCATAAGCTACGTTGATAGCTGTCTCCTGCTTGTCCCCTGTCAGCATCCAGATCTTGATGCCGGCTTTCTGAAGGGCTTCGATGGACTCAGGGACTCCCTCCTGCAGACGGTCTTCAATGCCTGTAGCACCTACAAGACAGCCAGAGTGCAACAGGGCTTGCGAGAAATCAAAGCCAGCAGAAGCTCACCTGAGCTGCAAATGAACTCTGTTAGGCAACCCCATCCTGAGCTACACATTGCTCCAGTAGCTTCCAGGCATTCAAAGGAAGTGTGAAGACCCAGACCAAAATCATATACAATGTCGTATTTTGGGAAGGAAGCCTTAGGAATCACTGAGCTTATTAAACTTACTTGTTCTCCTTTCGGCTAGCTTTCTTCTCTGTAAATTGAGGGGAGCTTGTAGTTTCAGTCACTTATGTAACCTTGCTCTATGATTTTATAATTCTGTGACACTCCCAAGGGTAAGGGCAGGCTTTTAAAGAATGTCCTTGTCAATAAGTTGCTTATATTATGAGAGAGCGTTGAAAACAGATATTACAAGTCCATAAGTCCCTCTTCTAAACCAACTGGGGTCAGATAAGTTTTGGAATTCAAGTTTTTCAGATTTTAGAAAGGTAACATAGTGCATCTGTGTTTTGAAATATCTGCTAATGAAGCATATTAATATTTCTGTAGCAAAACTTACAAATGTTCGTACTAATTAGGATAATAAAGACTCATAAAATCTTATCAAATCAGGCCTGATTGTAGCCAAATGAGTTCCGGCACTAAACCCACAGAGCATTTTTGAGTTTGGAATTTCAAATGAGGAAATGTGGACCCATACTACAGACACTGTCACAGAGAAATGACATAGATTAGGTATCATTACTCTTCTGGCTCCACACCGAGATCATTTTTTTTTCTGTGAACCAGAGGAATGGAGCTCAGAGAGTGGTCTTTTGGTATGTTAGCGCTTAGAGTCCAGATCTCCAGACTCTGAGACAGTGGTTCTCAACCCTGGCTGCCTCTTAGAATTCCTTGGGGAGCTTTTAAATATTCAAACACCCCAGCCACATGTCAGACCAACTGAATCAGAATCCCTGAGAAAGGACGCAGGCACCAGTATTTTTAAAAGTGTTCCAGATGATTTCAGGATACAGCTCAGTTTGAGACAAGAGGTGTCCGTTGTGCAAACTTTAGCTGCAATCAGGAAGTAAGAGAAGACAGAGAAACAAATTCCATTGGTCCAGTTGTAGGTACAAAATAAAGAATGTGGGCCCTGGAACTAGGTAGATCTGAGCCTCCTTCTAGCTCTGTCAACTATTAGCACATGACTGAACGAGTCAATGAACTGCTCTGTGCTCTAAATTTCCTCTAAGATATAGAGACTTGTTGTGCAGATTCAAAAGACCACCCATATTAAGTACCTTATCCAATGCCTGGCAATAAACTTCAACTGGATAGCCTCTTAAACCAGGATATTTATTTGACTTGGTATTCTATGTTAAGTGATAAGGTTTTAAATGATCTTCTTAAGGATGACCACCCTGATCCCACCATAAATGAAGTTGAGTTCACTACAGTGGAAAGCAGAATGAAAAGAATTGCAAACTGGGTACAGATCAGACTGGACAGGGTGAAGAGAACTATTTGCTCTATTAGATCAAAGTTGGGGGGTGGGAACCACTGGTGAATAACTTACTTAGAGATATCCAGTGTTTTCCAAATTTCTCTATCCAGACGATACAACATAGTCTACCTACCAAGTAAAGTGAGCTTGTTCTCCAACCTCATGGCAGATTCAAGGAGTAATTCTTCCCTGTGGTCAATGCTGGTTTCAGCTAAAAAATGGTTCCTCAGCCACTCTGCATATTCAGTGTTACTCATGACCTATGGGGGCGGGGGGAAGGGAGAGAAAAGAGCTATGAGAAAGGCCATATCATCTTGTAGGATCCTGCAAAGATTGACCACTAGGCAAAATATCTAGCCAGGTAATGCCAGGTTCATTCCCCATGCCACCTGGTCACAAGCTTTCTGAGATCAGACTACTGTAACACTGATGATGGATGGACCCGCTAGCTCAGTATCTCTTGGAAATCCTAGGCATCATATATGATGAAAGTGGGTTAATCTATTCAATTAAGCCAGGAAGTATGCAGTTGGAAGAGGTCTTCACTTGGTAGTTAAATCTAGAAAGATCCTAATGGTGCAGTTGAGAAAGTGGTGTCAGGATTGCTCAGTTTGAGGTATTAGGTAGCCAGCAGCACCACCAATGATTAGTTTATGGGTTATTTGTAAAGGTGAAAAGAGAGAGGGAGCCATACATCGAAGCAAGGACATACCCTTCCAAAAGAAATTAAATGGAATTCCTGGAGAAGGAACCAATGGTACATTTTCCTTTTTCTTTAGGTTGCCAGAGGGAGAAATCTACATTTCAATTCTCATAAAGCAATATGAAGTAGAGGGAGTGAGGCAATTTCTCTCTTTACTTACTCTTACCCACAGGGTTATTGGACTTAGGAAGAATTTGACATCTACTGGGCTGCATTTTTATCAGGGGCAGGATCATTCCACTTGAAAAGGTAGAACTCTCTCCTTTTGCTTTGATCTTGAAACTCTGTTCTTCATTCTACTATGTGTGAGGCAGATTTTGATTCTCTATGCAGCTGGTTGACTAAGTGTTGACTAAGCATCTGCAACAGATCCCAGTTTCCCCAAGGCAGCTCGTAAGAACTAGAATTTGGGTAAGAAACAAGAGATCCCTATGTTTGCCTTAGGTCCTAGCTACAGTCTCCAATTCAGGCTTCCAGGAGGCTTGTATTTTGGAACTCATAATGGATGGCAACTCATGAATTGATACTTTGATCTACATGTATTTCCCTGTCTTTTATACTCGCTAGAGCCCAGAATGACAGAGGGAAATCAATACTCCAGCTTTAACACAGCAAAAATTAACTGCAGGGTTTAGAGAGAGAGAGAGGGAGAGAAAGTGGGGTGGGGCGAGTGTTTATATGGAGAAGAGGGAAAGAGGTGGCAAGATGAATTTCTTGGTTCTTTTCTAATATTTCCCCTACATGGGCTGGTTGTTCTTTGTTTCATGTTCTTCAGTGTTCACCAAAGTCTCTGTTACACCTTCACAACTAACTCCCTTCTCTCCCCATAAGACAGCCTCCTATTGTCTCAACCCCTACTAGACTTTCTATACTATATACTATACTCTAAAGCAGACCCCCACCCCTTTCTGCTGCCCCCTCATTTACCCTGAAATAAAATAGGCAGTTGAGCTTTCACTGAAGGAAAAAGCACTATCCAGGTATTCAGTTGGCTATGTGGTTGAGCCATGATTATAGGAGTAGCATTGGGGAAGTCTTGGCTTATCAATGAAGGAAGGCTTGCATAGCCTCATTGGGGTTGAGAAGCTTGACTTGGTCAATACCCAAACCACATCCTACTGGCATAAAAACTTGACCAATTCACTTTAAAGTGCTCCATGTCTGTTTCTCCCATGTCCCCAGGGGAAGTTCTGGTAAGATCACCCCTCAATTTCTTAGAGCTCTGTCTTCTTTCTTATTACTTAAATTTTTTAGAAAGAGTACACTACATCTCAGGTTTATTATCAACAATAATCAATACTGACATAACATTTAGTAAAATTAATAGAAAAGACTTATAGGCATGTAAGGAAAAAATATTTAGAACTTTAGGGGAAAATTAAGGTCAGTCTCTGGCCTCATTCTTTCCAAAGAACATTTAAGGCAGGAATGATATTTATGAAGTACTGAGGGAAAAGAAAGTAGGTCCAGGGATTTTTATTTCCAGCCAAACTGCAGTTAACATACAAAAGCACTCACAGATACGCTGAAACAGGTGAGAACTCGGAGAACAGAACTTTTAGGTATTCTTCTGGCAAAACACTGAGAACAAACTCCAACCAATCAATACATACGGGAGACAGACACTGTGAATAGAGAGTCCACGATCCAAGAGCTTTCCCAGCTATGCGGATCAGGGTTTGATACCTGCTCGACCCCATGAAGCGAGGGCTACACAAGCGAAAGAATGAAGACCATGGGCCTAACTCAGCAGCCTCACCTTCTTTGCTATACATAAAGTGCGTAGGCCCCGTCTGGCATAGTCATCCAAGTGTTTCTGGGTTTTCTCCCTTATTATCATCTGTTGTTTCTCCAGACTTGCTCCATCTGAAATAATTAACAAAACAAGTATTCCCACCAGTCTGCCCAATTACAGGCATGTTTTTGCAAAAAATGATACAGTTTATCCCACAACAAACAAAAGACCTTGTAGTTCTGAATCCCAAATGTACATTTATAAAAGGGATCCTCTGAATAAATCTTTCCCTTGTTTCTTTCTTCCTGGGGAGAGGAAAAGTACCAAGAACTTAATATGAACACCATTCCCACACTGTCAATAACAACAGTAACAAGAACTCTAATATGCTAGCTGCCATTCACTGAACACTTGCCATTTGGGGAAAGGCTCTATGTATACTGCGTACAGTATGCCATTTAACCTCCGAGGAACTTATAAAAAGGGTACAACACTCCCCATTTGTTGAACACAGAATACGCAGGTAACTTTACCAAGACACCGCTAATGACAGAGGCCAGATCTGCACCCAGGTCTGTGTAGTGCCAAAACTTACATGCTTTCTCACCAAATCCTAGGCAGCTTCCCCCACTTTACCAAGTGCAGCTGATCCCCAAATATCCACATGTGTCTCTTTATAAAGCCCATCGAGAGTGGCCTTCGAATTTCTGAGCCCTGAATATACACCACCCCCCTCAGTATGGACTCACCTGGGGAAGCCACTGAGAGCAACTCCATGATGGCCGAATCAGCACCCTTCGTATACACCACGACTTGGTTGGAAAGGGGGTGCCGAACGACAACGGACATTCTTTTTCTTACTGAGTCGAAGGGCAGGATGTGCAGGAGTTGAAATGTTAATGGTCCCAGAGCAGCGAAGTCCACCACGACCTGCTCTGGTGTCCGAGACCGTAAAGTGCATTGGTAGGCCCTGGCGGCATACACCAAGGCCGCTTCATCGGGGCTCTCGGCCTCATAACACAGGGTGGAGGCCAACGGCTGTCCAGGGGAGGGTGCTACCTCGCCCTCTGGCAGGCCCGGATCCCTATTCCGTTGCTCAGTTTCTGTAGGGCAAGAAGAGTTACTAGAGCCCTGGGGGCTCTCGCTCATGTGGGAGGCCTCTTCCTCCACAGGAGAAGCCAGTTTCATTCGACTGAAGAGGGAGAATCTGCTCACAAAGGCATTTGGGACCCCAGGAGAGGGCTCTTTCCCACTGGCAAGAGATGGCGAACTTGATCTTCGGACAGACAATCTCTGGAAGAGGTTTTTAATCTCTTCCAAGGACTTTATAGGCATTCCACTCAGTGATGAGAGTCCAATCTAGAAGAGATGATTTGGAAGGGTCTCAATAATACAGCCAAAAGCAGTTGACAACAACGTTGAAGTCAAACCAGGAAAAACTTAGATAAGAAAAGAGTTACCACTCTTTAAATAGCTAGCAGCCTGCTTCATACTTAAAACTGCCCCCCAGAAAATATTAGCAAAAATAAAAATGACCATAATGAAAAATATGTACTAATGTTGATGGCACTATAAATTTCTACAACCATTCAGAAAGAGATCTGACAAATGATAGCAAAAGATATAAAATGCTAATATTGCTAGCAGTGGGCATATTATAGCAGTGTTTCCTAATGAATAACTTAAAATATAGATAATCCACATTCTTTATTATGTACATCCTAGCAATAGCAATTTAAAAATTACAAGCAAAGTATTCAAAAATAGCAAAACAAATATCTTCTTGAAATGTTACACAATATTTTAAATATAAAATGTATAAAATCTATGGGGTGAAATTGGAAAAGCTGTAAAAACATAAAAATTGTGTAAACAATATAAAAATTTAAAAAATTGTGTGAGGCAATATAAGAAACAAATGAGTAATAATATACATTTAAAACACTGGAAGAAAGTAAGTCAAAAGATTAAAATGGGCTTTTCTCCTCTTCTATTTTCAAGATTCTATAAAATGTTGTGACTATGACTTTTCTGTTGTTTCTAAAAAGGCCGGTAAACAAAGTCACTTACAGAAGAGTTATCAGCAGAAATTATCAGCTTATCAGCAGAAAATCACAATGAATGTGAATTTCTATTGCAGAATTTTCTCTAATTTTTAGCCTGATTTTTTTTGCTAGCTCTTAACTTTTAACACAGATTAAATGTAGAATTTAATATTATGAAGGCCAATTAATTAGATCCTAAAATTTTCTCATTCAGAAATACCCAAGATATTAAAAAGTTTTTTCCTAAAAATGATTAATCTTCTGACAGTTGGAGAAACACATGTTGGTCAATTTTCACACTTATCAGAACTCAGAAATGAAGAGAAACAATCACAGATGAGGTTTCATACTCTGTAGATTCTGATTAACTCATTATTCAGTCTCTGTCATTACCTCAAAATATCATCAAACTTAGGTTCTTATACTTGTAGAGAGACCTTCTTTCAGACCACAGGGTATTATAGTCTTTGGGGATAAGGCAACAATATTTTTCAAACAAAAAACACCAAGAGGTGCCTACTTTGGAAACAGATGTATGAGAAAAATTGTTACATGAGGAGAAAAAAGAACATCCAGTGATTTATTCTCTAATTACATAATCACTTTCCAAAGAGCAACTCCCTAGCTGAAAGTCTTATAAAAACACAGTTTTCGGATCAAATAAAAGCTTAATTGGAAATAAGTTATTTTTATGATAAAGCTGACCACCTCTGAAGTTGCCAAAAAAAAAAAAAATGATCTGATGGAAAATTAAAATTTAATTGGGTTGTGCCACAAATTGAATTATAAGTGGATATGTGCAAAAGGGGAGAAAGTTATACACAAGGAGGCTGGCATAGCATGTGGTCAATCACCGGTCTTTAAAACAAGTTTTTCTTTTTAATTGAAGATGAATTTTTCGGGCGCCTGGGTGGCTCAGTCGGTTAAGCGACTGCCTTCGGCTCAGGTTATGATCCTGGAGTCCCGGGATCGAGTCCCGCATCGGGCTCCCTGCTCAGAGAGGAGCCTGCTTCTCCCTCTAAGCCTCCCCCCTCTCATGTACTCTCTCTCTCATTCTCACTCTCTCAAAATAAATAAATCTTTAAAAAAAAAATGAATTTTTCCATAAATTCTAAACCACAAATAGACTTTTTAAATCTAGCTTTTGTGGGAACTGCAGCATCTTGGTAGCTTATAAATGTACTGGATTTTATTTTTATTTTTTTTAAGATTTTTTATTTATTTATTTGAGAGAGAGAGAATGAGAGATAGCACGAGAGGGAAGAGGGTCAGAGGGAGAAGCAGACTCCCTGCTGAGCAGGGAGCCCGATGTGGAACTCGATACCGGGACTCCAGGATCATGACCTGAGCCGAAGGCAGTTGCTTAACCAACTGAGCCACCCAGGCGCCCAATGTACTGGATTTTAAATTGAGTTAGAACTACCCCAACTGGTACATGAAAATGATACATTATCATTAAACATGATAATGAACCCAATACTTTATATTTTGCTTGATATAATGCATATGATGTGGGAAGTCTCAGAAGCCTCAAAGAAGCTTCAATTTGGGAAGGAAAACTAGGCAAAATGAACACAGCCACATTCTACCAGAGCTGTTCTCATCAGCTGTCCTCCTAGAGGCAAAACAGCAGAACAGCACTGAGCCATACTTCATGGGTTCAAATCTCACTTACCCCACAAATTGGCCCTGTGACCCCAGGAAAGTTAGTAACCTCAATTATAAAATGGGGAATTGTGGAGTAATATTACCTAACTTATGGGGCTGTTGGGAGGATAACACGTTAATATCAGTAAATCACTTAGAATATCGTAGGTGCAGAGCACAGATTAAGTAATGTATGTTAGCTGCTACTGTTATTATCATTTAGTAGTATTATCTACATAACAAGGCCAGTATAAGTACATTTAAACCCAAAGATCTCTTCTGGAAAATAATCCTTGTTTGCATTACCTTACCTTTTGCCGTGGTTGGTTAGGAGCAGAAACCACTACTGTGTTGCAAATTGCCAATGCAATAAAGAAGTCTATGATGTACAAGGTCTCGAGTGGTGGATCTGGGATAGTCTCATCTAGTGGGGTAAAAAGCTGAGGTGTTATCTGATTAAACTTGTCCAAAAGCCTGGTGTCTGGTACCACATCTGTTTCCTGAAAACCCAATAAGACAAAGTGTTATTACAGTAAGTATCTTACAAGGAGAGCTTTAAACTGAAATGAGAAGTAGCTTTTATGAGCAGAATCTACGAACCATGAGATAGTAAACTTTATTCTTCTAAAAAAGACTTAATATATATGGTGCCAAGGGAAGTGAGAATAGGAAAACTGACCAAAAAAAAAAAAAAGAGGGAAAAATCCAGAATGCATAATACTGATGGAGAGTATCTTGACTATTAAACTCAGCAAGAGACAGGAACAATGCCTTCCACCAAAATCTAGTTGACTGTTTTCTTATTTTGAAATACACAGTTGCCAGAGCATCTAACAGCAAGTGATGATTCATCCAACAACTGAGGAGTACCAACTCTTTTTAAAGTCAGGACATTATTCATTCCATGTTATTTTAACAAAATATCTTATGCTTCGAATCACTATTATAAAAACAAAAGCAGAAACAAACAAAAGAACCTCTGTGAAATAAACATTAGTATGAACACGTGAACATATTTAAAGATCATTACCTAGAAATATACTACAAGACTTTAATGAGGGTTCCTCCGAGAGATTTCCAATCATCAAATATATTTGGCAACTGTGTCCTGTGCCCTCCTCTTAAAGATCCTGAGTACAAATTAGTTCTCAGAAGTTCTGCTATTGAAAAAAAATATCCATTTTGTTTAACACAGTGCTTCTCATGCCTACTGAGGAGTACTGGTTTTAACAAAAGAATGTTGTAGTAGAAATCTGTTTATAATCCAGTAACATGTAGACAATGCTTTAGAAGTTTTTCAGATGAATCAAAAGAGGGACCATCTGCTACAAATCAAATTTTCACAAAAGCATCACTGTATTCTAGAGGAGATGTGGATGTAGTTGGTTGGCAAAGCATACTGACTGCAGGAAAGCCAGGAGAGGTAATTTAGAGGCAGGAGTAAAATATGGAGATGTGAGACGTGTGATACTAGACTCAAAAGACCATGGCTTGTATTTTATGCTTAGGAGTTTGGTGAGAACTAGCCATAGGCTTAATAAGAGCATGGGTTGAAAATCACGTGGGCTTGGGTTCAGGTCCTAGACACACTGCACACTAGCTGGTGGCCTCAGGCAGCTTGCTTGACCCACCAAGCTTCATTTTCCTCTTCGGAGTAATAATAAAAATAACACCTATATCACAAGGCGGGTGTATAAAGTGATGACATAATGAGGGGATACCCACAACAGGAACCTCCAGGCAGGTTACCAGACTCACAATGGGTACAAACTATCTGCTGTCACATTCTTTTTTTTAAGATTTTATTTATTTGAGAGAGAGAGGGAGAGACAGAGAGCATGCATGAGTCAGGGGAGGGTGGAGGGAGAGGGAGAAGCAGGCTCCATGCTGGGCAGGGAGCCTGATGCGGGGCTCAATCCCAGGACCCTGGGATGATGACCTGAGCCGAAGGCAGACACTTAATCAACTGAGCCACCCAGGCATCCCTGTCACAAAGCATTCTTAAATTTCTATCTAAATACATCAATACCTATTTTCCTGTGATATTTGACTTAGCAAAATTTGAATTTTATTGCAGTTTGGTGGAGTTCATAGGCACCAATAATCTGATGGCTGTTCTCTAATGAGTCAGCCACATTTCCTCATGAATCTCACATACACAGTAACTCTGAGCCGGTGCCTGGGCCCTCAGTTCTTCAGAGAATAATCCCTTCCTCAACGACCTCCTTGCCAGAGTGAACAGAAGAGCATGGTCAAGTTTGAGAGACTTCTTTCTTACTCAGTGCTTAGTCAGCCAAGGGATGCTTGGGAAACTCATTACATGATATTTATCAAGGTCTCTGATTATAGTGTCATCTATAGGCTTGTGAGACTCCATGGGCTGGAAAATGTTTCCAGAGACATCTGTCTCAGAACGCTAATATACAGTAAGCCAAACAAAACAAAACAAAACAAAAACCCAACTTATTTTAGAATGGAACTCTAAGAAATTAAACAGGTTTCTTTATTGTAGCTCTTCTCAGAGAGTTTAATGGGTATTGGGACTCTTCAAGAAAAGGTATGTGCAGGCTTCCCAAATTAAATTTTTTAGAGACGTCTGTTCTGTGGAACACATTTGGGATTGCGTTAGAGACCTTATAAGCATTTAGTGATTTCACTGTATCAACGACCTCTGCACTAATAACTGGCTTCAGGACGTAAGGATTCTACTGCATTCCAAAATCAATCTAAGACAAATGAAAGGCTTCTACCTTCCACCTTTGTGATAAAACACTATTGACATAAGTCAGTCTCACACGCCAGTCAGGGAATGTGCTGACTGCATGAACCGAGAACCTTGGCCATGAGCATAAGAAGAGAAGAGATACTAGAGCCCGCCAAAGCTGGGGCTCTGGTCAGCAAAACTGTGAGAAAAATCCAGAAACTCAGGACCACACAAGACAACCGTAACACAATATATGAAAGAAGAGCCCCTGAGATTTGAGGAAAGATCCCTATCACACTGCAACTGCAGGCACGGAGCACTCTGCCTGAAGTTGGTCTCTCCAAATAAGTTAATCCCTAGTATCTAAGATATTTAGTTGCTGAACTGAAGAGAAGGTACAGAGTTATCACACCCAATTCTGATCTCTGTGACTGCATCTATAGGGACTTTTCCTAAGACCCAAATCTTCCTCACTGAGACTCTGTCTTACAAAATTGGTTTTTGCTCTTTTTTCTGTGACAGACAGCTTCTGCCTTCTCGGAACTCCTCTCCCCCGGAGCCAGGCCCATACCACCCGGCTCTAAATGATTCCATGAACGCGGCCTTCATAGAGTTGTAAGTTCCTTTAAAGGAAGGACCATCTTATATTGATCTTTGGATCCCTAACACAATACCTAGAACATGGAGAAGAATAAAAGTTTATTGTACACGACTACCAAACACTTGCTGATTTTATATTGTATAAGTAGGAGCTGGAGAAACAGAACAAAATGATGTCACTCTTCAGAAAACATACATAAATCCCTCCCACTTGGCCTCAAATAGACATTTTTTTTTTAATGAAAAGTTATCCTCCTAATTAAAGAATATAAAGCACAATGTGGATGGCTTCCTACAATTAAACAAAGCCTTATCTGGTTTCATGGTGGGACTCCAGCATCTTTATCTGAATCCTATGTAACATCTATTTTAAAATTTTAGATTTTCATGACTCATATTATGCCTTCCTACCAGGTTGCAGGTTTCACGTTCAGGTTGCTTTCTCTCTTTTCCCCCTCTATTTGTATCCAAATTCAACAAGCAAACACTGGCCAAGACCCCTCTTTGCCCTCTAATAGTGCTGGTTGAAACTTTAGGGTGGCCTTAATACTGCTCCCCATTCCTCCCCCAGTTCCACCAGTAGCCACGGCCCTTATTTAATTTCCCACTGCCATCCTAGTCCAGTTTTAGGGGCTCACTGGCCCACCTCGACAACTTCGGCTGAAGTATGGACACACAAGCCTTCTTCCGGCTCCCTCAGATTCCTGACCACCACAGACCTGAAGGAAAAAGACAAGCACCCACAACCACACACGGACCTTCCTCCCCCACACCACATTCACCCACAGCCCCTTGTTTCTGAGCCCTTGCCTGTGCCACACATTGTCTGCCCCACATGCTCTTCCTTCTTCTTCTGCTCTGCAAACCCCTACTCATTAGCTTAATCCTAACTCAAGTTTTACCTCTTTTCTCCTCACCCCTTGAGAGTTGATCACTCCCTTCTTTGTGCTCTTACTCTACTCTGGACTAACCCACTATTACTGCATCTATAACACTGGATTGTATGTATGTATTTGTATGTCTGTCTCCTCTACCTAGAACAAAACTGAAGGACAGGGACATGTCATATTCATTTTATATCCCAGTGTCTAGTATTTTGCCCCTGTTTTTCACTAAGCCATTCATTCATTCATCCCATCAATATGTTTTGTTAATCTATGGTGTCAGGCACTCCTCAAGGAAAGAGGGGTGCACAGGACAGATAGGATCCTGGCTTGCATGGAGCTCACATTCCAATGAGAGGAGACATCAGATCCAAACACTAAGCTGTGAACAAATAAGATGCTTCTAGACTGAGACAGAGAGAGATAGGGTGGGGATGGGGGTAGAAAGAACTTTGGATTAGGTGGTAAGGAAGGTTTACTGAGGAGGTGACATCTAAGCTAAGACCTCAATGACAGAAAGGAGAACCATATAGAGATCTAAGAGACTAGCCACCCAGGTAGAATGAACAAGGCACAAAAACACTGGCTTACAAAGAAAAGGTTTCTATTTCAAATAGGTAAAATGAACCCAGGACTCAGGGGCCTCAATGACATTTTAATTTCCAAAGGTTGGCATATTTTTGCCAGCAGCCTGCCAAGGATCCTTACTCCCTGGCTCTCAACTTGCCTCCCCACCCAAGGTGCATTTTACAATCTTCCATTTCTAGACATCACGGCTCTCGGGGTACTCTTAAGCTGGTATTCTTTTTTTTTTTTTTTTAATGGATCAGTTATTTAATTACGTTCTTTGTAGGAAATTTAGAACACCAATTTGTGAGGGTAAACTCCATTTGTGAGAGAAAACACAGAGCGGAGGTAGCCCTGAAGCTGAGGAACAGCTTTGATTTTTGGCAGAATTTGCGAGTCCACAGCTTTCTGATCAACCTTGCGCTGCTCTGTAATCTCATGTTTCTCTTTCTTGGGGTCGAAGATCTCACCCTCCTGGTGTCTGGGCTTCCGCAGCT